TACATATATATGCGTGTAGGTATATAATATATAAAGGGAGTTTTCGATTGTGCGTGTGGTAGACCAAGACCATTTTGTGAGCGTGTGTGCGAGCGAGTGTGTGTTTGTGTTTCTGTTGTTGTCTGCTCAACTATATACGAATTATTCACCAATTATACGTGTATGCGCTTCAGTGTATGTGTGTGTATGTTTGTATGTGAGTGTGTGTGTGTGTGTGTAGTTGCGTTTGCYACAGCATAGATCTCTTCACATACACACAAACATGCATAGCTGCTGCCGAATACAAATACACACAGATATAAATCTATGTAGGTATGTGTGTGTGTGTGGGTGTCAGTGCTAACAGCTACTTATGTGTACCATATGTCGTACGATCTCAGCTGATCTGGTCGGAATGGCTATAGCCTACACATATGTATACAAATGCCAATATTATTGTTGTTTCAGCTAAGGATTCGACTCTCCTCCCATTCCTGTTTCCTTGTTCAAGCTAAAACATTTGATTTGCCACAAATCTACAGATAACAATGCCACAATTCGATTAGCCAATTGAATTGCTCCTCTACGGCAAGGGGCGAGTAGGTGTGGGTGGGCGTGTATGGGCTTTAGTATTTGTGTATACGGCAATTGGAACATTCGACTTCATAAGCGATTTGCCAATTGGACAGCCTGCCACACAACAAATGCGAACATTCTGGCGTAGTCTGTGTGCGCTTCTGTATTTGTACTTAGCGAATTCTCAAGCTTTAAATTTTGGGTGAAGGCGGGTGAAGGGGGGTGGCGTGAGGGGAGATCGACCAAATATTGTTGTAATTACATGTATATAAGGCATACATACATATGTGTGTATGTAGGAATTGTTGTGGGTATGTGTGTCTGTGTGTGTGTGTGTGTGTGTTCATACATATTTGTTATGCCAATGGACGAATGTCAAGGATGAATACATAAATGTTCATATAGGGGAGACAACACACACACACACACACACACACATACACCCACACACAAACGTATATTATATATAAATACACTCTCGATCTGCATGTATGCATGCGTGTGTGTGTGTGCATATATATGTATTTGTTGTTTGTTTCGCTTTTCGCATCTCACTCATTCAGGGTGAAAATTTTGTTGTTCGACAATTTTGAAGCCATATTTGAAAACGAATCGAAATGAAAAATTCGAAATTATTGAAATAATTCAACGAAAGACACATTAAAAATAAAGTTGCAATTTATATATATGTATATAGATTTTTAATATAATTGTATTTTTGTTTTTGTTTTTTGTTTTTTTTTTTTCATTTTGGTTTATGATTTAAAAGGATTAGTTTTCAATGCAAATACATATAATTGAATTGAAGCTTTTCTTTTGCTTTTGCTGTTGTAAATATATACGGATCATATCTGTTAGGGGAGGAGTTACGGGGGAGGGGGCGCAGGAGGTTTGGCTTTGGAGAATTGTGGTATACTTAGTTTTAGACACAAGCACGACGACGTACAAAAGTAAATTTAAAAATTTCAATACATAATATATATAAGTATTTATGTATATATATATTCGATCGATCTTATAATGCGGTTGCATTTTACAATAAAACATAACGGTAAAGAAAATACTAAACACAAAAATGTGGGTGGACACCAAATCAAATGGATTGCAAAAATATGATGTTTAGTGTTGTTGTTGTTGTCGTGTGAATGAAACAGAAAAAAGGAAATCGAATTGCACTGAAATCAACAAAATCAATGGTACAACAATAGCAATGTAACGCTAAATAAATAACTCTACCGTCTATCCAATCTCAGTCCCTAACTCTTTAGTTCTTTTTCTCAATTTATCCCTATCTATCTATTTATGTACCCCTACACCTCTATCTCCTCATCTATCTATTCTTCATTTCCCATAGATGCTGTAATCCCCAACATTAACGAAGAAGCCTATTAAAATCTACTGAGTATATTGTCAAACGGCTAACGGAAACGAAAATGCAAACCGAAACTAAAAGATCAAGTAAACAATAGAAATAAATCATTCTTTCCATTTCGCATTAAGCATACAACTAAACATGTATATATATGTATGTTTGTATGTATGTTGGCAAGTGTATATGGTATATGTATCATTGAAGGTATGTGTGTATGTGTGCGTGTATGTATGTGTAGTAGAGTATAGCTCTGTGATATGCAGTTGGTTTATTATTGCGTTTAAATACGAATACAAAATTAGCACACAAATAAACGATGGAAAAGGAACGTAAAACGTGAAACGTGAAACGTAAAACGTAAAACGTGAAACAAAGAAATAGACTCATTAAAAGTGAACAAAATGACAAATGCTGAGAAAACAAACATGTAAGGAACATACACTTATATTTCCTGCTTAACATTTAGCCGATGCTTAGCTTAGCTGACTAGATCTAATTAGATATCCAATTGGAATTCACTAAAATTTCAATGTCGATATACGTTTGGCGAATTGTGTGATTGCAAGACAGAGAGAAAGAGTGAGAGAGTGAGAGGGAAATATAGAGTGTGTCTGTGTGTGCGAATGTGTGAGAGAGAGAGAACAGAGCGATGTTATTTGATGACATATATCGAGAATAGCGTATATCGTATATCGTATATCATATATCATATARAATTTATCGTTTATCGCTGATACTGATACTGATTTGACATGTGTGAACATGAAGTAAGCCAAATGAACTAGAAATCTCGAAGACACAAAAAAAAACACACTTCTCTTCACAAAGGCAATAAAAGCAGCTCGAACACTGAACCAGGCCCCCAATCATCGCAATCCCAGTCCTAATTAGCTAGTCGACACCTCCCAAATTTATCCTAGTTTTTCCCTAGTCCCTCATTCCCTTGCTCCTCCACAGTTTCATAAACTGTCTAGCATCACACTTAGCCGTATACAGTGTCTCCGCAATGTATTCGCCAACCAGATATCAGAATATATCGGTATTCTATATACGGCATGTAATGAGCTTCAACATTTCTAGCTCTAACACCACGGTATGTGTACGCATGTTTGTTGTTGGCTCGTTCGTCAGTCGGCTCGTTAGTTGGAGCTGGTGTTTGTGCTGTGTTTCTCCTGGGGGGAGGGGGAGGCGGCCGCAAAGCCGCAAAGCTTTTACGAACACATTTTACAGTTAGACGGCTGGAGGTGTTGCTGGGCATGGTGGCAGGGGGCGTGGCAAATTGTTGTGGCCTAACCTCAGGATAACAGAGGCAATTAAAATTTACCGCCACGCACTCACACACACACACACACTATTTTGCTAAACACTCTTGATGCTTCGGATGCTCATTCGTTCACTTAATTAGTTTAATGTATTCACACACACACACAAACACACACACACATACACACACATGGTATTAGCTAATTTCTTTAGGCATTTTTTGGGTCTGGCGCTTTTTACTGGGGGTTGAAGGTTCAGTGTTTTTAGCCGTTTTTAATGCGTAGACGAGTATTGGACTTGGATTTGCTCGGCACTATCTCAACTCAATGATCATTTGCATCGACCGTTAGCGATCATTATCGTCAACATAAGCATTGGCCATTTGTTATACATATGTTTGATAGACGCCTGACTGCTGTTTGTTCTTCTTCTTCATCTTCTTCTGCCTCATATGTATGTTTTCGCAGTTGCTCTACGTTTATGTTTTGTTTATTTATTTGTATTACGAAAATGAAAACATTTACCATCGAAACAATCAAATAAGAAACAAATTTGTACACTTTTTCGATTTGACTTGAAGATGCAAAGGAAAGAAAAAAAAACAAAACAAAAATGTAATTAAAAAAAAAAAAAAAAAAAAAAAAAAGTAATTAAAAAAAAAAAAAAAAAAAGAACTAGTTTTTACTTTTGTGTTGACTTTTACGTGTTTTTGCAATTCTAATAAAAAAAATAAAAAGTCCACGTGAAAAGCGGCCCAGCTGGAACAGCAACAGGCAGCTGTACTTCGTAATACCCTGGGCCGCCCTTGAGTGGGGACGTTTAGTATGTTGGTTTACTTTGAAATCAAATCGAATGGAATGGATAAATATAATCAAATATATATATATATTCGTGTTCGTGTGTTCTCGGTGTGTTTAAATAAATCAAAAGTTAAATCAAATTGTAGTTAACACACACATATATAGCCGATTTATATGCATGTACGGATGTAAGTATGTTTTTTTTTTTTTTTTCAAGTAAAACAAATGATACAGACACATTTCTTCAACGTTAAAATATTCGGATTTCTATTAATTCCTTTTCGTAAAAAATATTGTTTTTCTTCTCTTTTTTATATTTTTGATTCTGGGTTTCTTTTTTTTTATATTTTGGTATATTTGCATTTGATGTAAAAAATGTAATAATGAGCTTTTGAGCGCAAATAGAGCGAAACAATAGAGTAAATAGAGAAATGCTCGGACTCACCTTGTGGAGAGACAGCGAGTTCACCAGATTGTTGTAGGGTATTGAGACCTGATCGGTAGAGAAATCAAAAGAAGAAGAGGAGAAGATTAGTCAGACTGCAAAGAGAAACGCATCGAGGTATTACGCACCAATCAAGGCTGAGTGATCGAGATTGCTAATCGGAAAATTGAATGGACCTGGAAACAATTTGCTCTCGGCCGGCGACATAATGTAGGGCTGTGCGGCATGATGGGTGGCTAGGTTGTCGTTGATCTCATCGTCATTGCCAGAGCTATCGAAAGAAAGAAAGAAGAAACAAAGAGCAAACAATTAGGCGTGTGTTAAGCCACTTCTACATAGGACCGACTGGGCTGGACTCAGCATTGCCCAGCCTGACTTGGGGCTAATATACATATATATGTATATAGGTACTCCATGGGATCTACAGTTCTATATTTGCACATTTTGTTAGTAGTTACCTCAAGGAGCCTTTGCCGCCGTCGCCGCTGCTGGAGCGATTGGCGTCGTGCTCGCCTGTGGAGTCGTTGCTGTGCTCATCGTTGACGTTGGCGTTGGCATTGTTGTTGTTCGAGCAGACCAGCTCCATGGGCTCCGACTTGACATCCTCGACACCGCGAGCCAGCGGCGAGGGCGTCATACTGCCAAGCTTCTCGCTGATGGAGATGCCGTTGCCATTGCCGTTGCCGTTGCCATTGCCGTTGCCGTTGTTGTTGTTGTTGCCGTTGTTGTTGTTGCCGTTGCCGTTGCCCGAGTTGCCATTGCCTGTGGAGCGATTGCCTATAGTGAGAGAGCGGGAAAGTTGGAAAGATGCGAAAGTGCGAGAGTGCGAAAGTGAGAGGAGTGATTCAGCCATCGTTGTCTCTCCCACTCTCTCTCTCTCTCTCTCTATCTCCCTCGCGCACTTCCTCTCTCTCTCTCTATCTAAGTGCTGTACTTACGCTTCTCCTCCTTGAGCGGCGGCGTGTTGTTGTTGTTGTGGTGCTTGATCGTGCTAAAGTCGGCCGGCGTCAGCTGGGGCGAGGCGCTGCGCGCATGCATCTGCAGATCGGGGCTGCCGTTGTTGTTGCTGCTGGCAGAGAGGCCGTTGTTGTTGTCGGCGCTGCGCAAGCGCTTGAGGGCGTGCGATGTGGTCTCGTCGACGACGCCGCCGCTGTGGTGCATCATGGCCATGCGCTTCAGCAGATTGTTGTTGATGTGCTGCGGCAGCTGCTGCGGCGGCGGAGGCGGCGGCGGCGAGCCGCCAACCTGGCGACTGCTAAACAGTGTGGCAGCCCCCTCATCGTGCAACGACGAGCCATGGTGTGGATGTGAGTTGAGCGGCGTGCGTATGCCCGCATTGGCCAGGTTCTGTATCTGTGCCAAGTGCTGCAGAGAGGGACAGAGAGAGTGAGCTGAGCCCATACGGGGGGCGGGCGCCACTGTACTTACGCTGTGCGTGTCCTCGGCCTGCTGCTGTGTTAGGCCCGAGACGCGCAGCACCTCGGCGGTCTTCAAGAACGACTGCAGCGACTTCTGGTGCACGTTCACCTCGCCGTGGTATATGAACTCCACCAGCGAGTGCAGATCCATGAAATTGACATCTTGCAGCAGGATGACCGGATGTTTGCAGGGTGTGCTCTGTGGCGAAACAAAGCGGGAGTGTGCGTTTAGATCAAGTCAGTTGGCTGCGATGACCTTCGGCCATTGGCTCAATGTCAAACGAGCTGCAACCCGAGTGTGTGCTGGCTCCATCTCCATCTCTATCTCTGTCTCAGTCCCTGTCTCTATCGTATCTGCCTCCTTCTTCTAGTTCTGCTTCTGCTCTGCCCATCTTTCTTCTTCCCTCTGGCACACACATGCATGCCAACTGCTTCAAGTTGGCCCCATTTTCCTCATACCTCGTCCCTCTGCTCTCCCCCCTTACCTCATACGACGCCAATCTACAGCTGTGTGTAAATTTCACTTTATCATCCGAATGGCAAAAGCCAACAAAGGGCCCAAAATTGGGTCAAGTTACGGCGTCGTTGTTATTATTTCGATTGCACGCATTGCGCGCCTCCAGTACCAGTTGCAGCTGCAGTTGCAATTCCAGTTGCAGTCCCAGCCCCAACACCATCCCAGGCCCCAGCATCAGGCACGATCCTATATACCAGCGTCTGCCTTGACTTTACATGCTTTGTCTCTGCTTCCATCGCTCTGTCTCCGTCTCGCTTCTTGCTGGCTTTATCTCCATCTTGCTCTCTCTTGTTTACTATATCGCAATTTATTTTCGCATTCGCTATACATATGTATACGTATACGTATATAGGTGCCTGTATGTAAGCAAGATACACAAACAGAGGCAGAGGCAGAGGCAGAAGCAGAGACAGATTGTGAAATTGAGGTCAAGACGGCGGCGATCAAGTGATCGTCACATCCCAAACGAGCACCTACAACAAGTTTATGCCGAAGGGAGAAACCCAGAAACAACAGATAGAGAAGGAAAGAGAGAGCGAGAGAGATGTAGAGATGGGACAGACAGAGAGAGCGACAAATATTCGTGTAAAGAAAAAGCTATTAGCAAATAGCAGGAGAGAGAGAGAGCGAGATAAAGAGGGAGAGAGAGAGTACTTTACTCTCATGAAGGATCTGCGATCTAGAAAAGTTTGCCACAGAGAAAGCGACAAAGGGAGAAATCTCGCTTAGAGAAATTTCTTTTGGAGACACGTGATCTGCCATAGAGAAGAGAAACAGCTAAGGCCAATGGACGAGAGAGAAAGGAGGCGAACGAGTCGTCGTGTACCAAATGCAAATTGTGTGTCTTTGCTAAATGGGCGTGGCAGCAGACAGTTTTCAGTTAACTGTTTTGCAGTTAACGGCTCACAATTCACAGTTGAACAAAAGCCAAAATGCTTTTAGAAGCGCTTAACTCACGCCCCGTTCCGGACCCAACGCCCCTTCCCACTGAGAGTGCTTCATTGTGTGTTRTTGTTGTTTCTGCTCTTGTTGTTGTTGTTGTTGTGTGTCTGCTTTGCAGTTTTACACCTAATTAAAATAATGCGCTGCAGTTAATTAAATATTTATGCATAGGCACAAGGCGACGCCAGCAAGAGATCAAGCGAGAGAGAGAGAGACAAAGACAGATGCAGGGAGAGAGAGACACAAAGAGAGAGAGAGAGACAGAGAGAGCAAAGTGGCAAAGTGTCGCCAAACCGGAGCCGGACTCAAGCAAAGGCTGGACTTTAGCTATAGCAGGTCTGTTTGAGTCTTTGTTGCTGTTGTTTACGTTGTTGTTGTTGTCGTTGTTGTTGTTGTTGTATGTATTTCAAATTGAATTTACAAACTTCTGGCTGACTCGTATTGTTGCACTGCCAACAAAGTTTTTGTACTAATTTCTTGGTATATAATTATTTTAGCATTTTCTTCGTCTCCCCCTTCCTGCTGCTCCTCCCCCTCCCCCTCTGTCGCTTTTTTCTGTTCCTTCGTTCTTGGCATTGTTGCAGTTGCAGTTTGCTGCGAATTTAGTTGGCCTTTTTAACAAATTAAATGACGACTTTCAGTTGCCTGTCTGTCTGCCTGTCCGTCCGCCTGTTTGTCTATTTGTCTGTTCTTGTTGTTGTGCTTCATTATCATAGCCGTAGTTTCAGCATTTGGCTAAAAGTTTCGGCGGAATTTATTGGCCGGACAGCTTGTAAAGCTACAGCTCGGGGTACGCCGTGTCGTATACACAATATGCCACGGCACACATACATACATACATACATACATACGCGAAACGGTTGACGTATTGTCAGCTGTAAGGCAAAGCCGCCAACCATTAGCAAAGGCCGGTGCCACTAAAAGCACCAAAAGAAACGAATCGCCCATTTCTCCCCCTCTCTCTCTCTCTCTCTCTCTGTCTCGCTTTCAGTTTGTGTTGTTCGTTTGTCTGGCTGCGTCTAAAAAAATGTACACAACTCAAAGTTTTCTATCATGTTAACAAATCACGTCGCAAGCGAATATTTACCAAGCCGAGCAGCAAAACTAAGAACTGAGAAGTTTGTAATTTATATAATTTCAGCTGCAATGCCAGAGCTGGAGCTAAAGGCAAAGGCAAAGGCTTTTCCTCTAACCACAACCACTAATCAATCCACTAACCAATTCGCTAACCCAACAGTCCAAGCTCCAAGCCCCAAGCCCCCAGCTCCGACCCCAATGACAGCTCAAACAATGCAAATGGCAAAGTTTTTGGCTGGCAAATGCAAAGGAGAGAAGGGAAAGAAGGCGGGGGGGGGGGGGCTCAAGGGGCAAGCAAGTCTCGAGGCCTGCTAAAAACCGCAATTGCGTGCAAATATTTTCAATGCAGTCGCAAATTTTTTTTGTTTTGGCGGACAGGTAAACGAGGCAACGACTTCCATAATTTTAATGTCATAATAAAAACAAGCACGACTGCTCCAGTTGGGCATGCACGACTAGCACATACCCAGCAGGACTAGGGCACTCTACTACGCTGCACTGATGCATGGCATCCCTCCAGGATGGAGAGTGCCCGGACTAGCATTCTCTCTCTTGACAGATCGAGCGAGATCTGAATGGATGGCGCCAGGGGGCGTGGCCAGTTTCGAGTGCACTGTTGCCCCCGTTCTGTTGCAAGCTGTTCCCCAGTCTCATGATCTCGGGATCTCCACTTGGGCAGTGCCTCGTGGTCCAGTCACATGTTACTCAAATAATGGCCCGCTTTACGACAGTTGCAAAGCGGAACTTTTTGCGCTGGCCTCGACTGTACCTCATGGCCTCATGTTGCAGGCAATCGCCGACATTTGGCGTGCTGTCGTCTCTTCCTCGTCTTCTTCTTCTAGTTGTTGCAATTGTTGCCTGTTATACTTATAGTTGTTATAGTTGTTGCGCAACTAAATAAATTAAAATCCAAACAGAAGACGGCAGCCCCCGAGCCACGCCCCCCGCTAACTAGCTGCCATCATATTTTTTAGCGAAATGCACAGCTAAGAACTTTTTCCCTAACTGTTTACACCACGCGCACGAAACGTTGCAAGCAAACAAAATGCTTGCAACATTTGCAGGCAGACAAAAGTCAACTGACTCTCCTCTCTCTCTCTCACACACACCCTTTGTGTGTGTGCGTGTGTAGCCATCGTTTTATTAATTAGGCTGCCATTAAAACTGGGCCGCAGCAGCGGCAGGCGCGAGCGCATGGATTCATTTGATCAACGCTGCGTATGAGTAATATATACATATATATGTACATATATGCACTGTAATTATATACATATATCTATATACTTTTATGTGAATCAGGATGTATTCAACCGACAGCTGAGGCACATGTGCTCTCTCTCTCTCTCTCTCTTTCTCTCTCTCTCTCTCACTCTCTCTCTCTCGCGCTGCGCTCCTTATCTTGCTTCTTGTCTGAGCTAAGTAGGTCAGCAAAATGTATTTCGAGTTGCGAAATGCAATAAGCAAAAAAAAGAAAGAAACTAAGACTCTGGTAGCAGATCCAAAATGATCTCGCCCCACGGCACCCCAAGCAACGAGATGCCAAAGAAGGCAATGCAAAACAATCGACGAATTGAATAAGAAATGGAGGAGGGGAAGAAACATAATCATAGCAAAGCACATATACCCACATATATCTCTACTACTGTATACGCATGTATGTGTGTATATGTGCATACATGCATACACATATACGCTGACAGTGCTGCCAGATCTCCAGCTAGCTGAACAGCTCTATGGTGGTGCCAAGGTAAGGTCAAAGGATCAACACATTCCCATAGAAGGACTAGAATGGAAAGCTGTTCGGGTTTCTTGGCCACAACTCCAACTGGAACTGAAATGCTCTCCTCAAAGTATCACAATTCAATGATCTATTGCCATTAAATCTAGCTAAATATGTTACTCACATACATACAAACATATGTAGAGGGCCAAGTGCAATTCATCTCACAGTTGCAATGGATCGAATCAGTTAGATATATTTGTGAAAAGATTTGGGGAAGTTTTAGTCGGGCCTATACTAATACGTATGTCTGTATGTATGTGCGTATGTGCGTATGTATAGTGGCTCGGATTCCCTCCCAAGAGTGATCTGCGCTGTAAATATTATCGGACTATTCGAAATGGATGGCAACTCACCTTCAGCAGATCGCGGAAGTAGGGGCTGCATGCGGAGAGGACGACGCGATGGGCTTTTATGCTCCGTCCCTCGCAGGCGAGCGTCACGTCGACGAAGTCCTCGTCGTCGCGAAGATTCTCGAATGCCGATGTGATGCTGCTCTGATAGTTGTTCCATCGCAGACAGAAATGCTGTGTTTCGTCCATGTTGATTTGTTCGTCTTCTTCCTCTTCCTCTTCAATTGCTGCTGTGTAACGGTTATTCAGCTCGACTGTAGCCGTGGCTGTGCCTGTTGTTGCAATTGGAGTTGGGGTTCTAGTTGTTGTTGCGGTTGTTGTTGTTGTTGTTGTTGCTGTTTTCAGCTGCCTAGCGTTGTTGTAGTTGTAGTTGTTGCTATTGTTATTGTTGTTGTTGGTGTTGCTGTTATCTTCGTCAACTGTGGAAACAACGCTGGCTTTCTTCGTGGTCACCTTTTTGCGTATTTTGGCGGCTTTTTATTGCACCGAGGGAAAAAAAGTTATGTGCTCGCTGCTGCTGCTGCGTTTGCTGCTCACATGCGCACACATACACGCACGCAGACACACGCACGCATGCACTGCCTGGCGGATTTGCAGTTGTTGTTGTTGTTGTTGCTCCCTTTGTCGAATCCAACTATGATAAGGCTAATGCTGATGCTGTTGCTAATGCTGTTGCTGATGATGATCACTTTGACTATTTCACTAATAATTAATTAACTGCAAATAGACAAAGACAGGGAGAGAGAGAGAAAGAGAGTTAAATTAGTAATTCACTTGGATTGTAAATTCATTAAGCTAAAAATCTATATATAATTCATTTATTTGTGTTTTTTTTCTTCTTCTTTCTTTAAATAACCAGTTTTAATATATATTTCTCTATTTGTGATATTTGTATTTAAATTTTGTGTTTATTTATAGCATATATAGTTAAGTAAATTATAATCTACATTATCTTATATATGCCTTTCTTTGTACTAATTTGATATTGTATTATTAATATTTATCATCAGTATT